CGCCCCCCCCCCCCCCCAAGGTCTGCAGGATCTCCTGCTAGTACGGGCACTAATACAATACAGCATACTGCTCACAAAATATCTTTTCCATGCAGCGAAGGAAGTAACCTTACTCCAGCTCATCATTACCCTGACTTCAGGTTCAAAACCTATGCACCTGTGGCTTTTCGGTACTTCCGAGAGCTATTTGGCATTCGTCCAGATGATTATTTGGTATGTATGGGTCTTCTATTTCTCTGCAATTAATACCGTATATATGAATTGTCCTGAAGAGTTCCTGCTTTGCCAGAAGCATCAGCAAAACTTAGCATGACAAATGTCATATACTGGCATCTGTGACCAGCCATAGGGATTTCATTGCATATTTGTGAAGTTCAGTCTTCAGCTAGTATACTGAAAAATTATATAAAGCCTTCCTTATGAAGTTCTCAAAGTACTGGATAAAATGAATAACTACTGTACTTGTCAGTGGAGAAAATGAGGCAGTGTTAAGGTTGGCAGTATCACATGGTAAGTCAGAGGTAGATTGGGGAAGAAAATATTAGCTCCCTCTTCTTTGCACCCTCCTTATGGCTGTGTGTGTGTGGTGGAGAGTATCTGTGTGGTTGAATCCTTGGGATAGGCAGAATCCATGGTCTAGTACAGGGGTTAGCAGTGTTTTTTCCAGTGGGGATTCTGGAATTACCCAGTTCAGATCTAAGGTATTGAAGCAGTAGCACCTGGCTGCCTTTGCCTTTCATTCTCTGCCCTGTGGCTCCAATGCAACAGATAGCACCCCCCCATCCTGTTGGAGCTGTGCCACCCATCTGCTGAGAGCTCCCCTTCTGCCAAAGCTTCAAGTGTCAGACCATGGCATGGTGCAGGGAGAGCTCCCCACTTTGCCAAAGTCCCGGGCACCTGACTGCAGCAGAGCCCTCTGCTACTGAAGCCACAGCTGTAGCAGATCCAAAAGCTACACAGGCCAGATGTGGCCCATGGGCATTAGGTTGCCACAAACCCTAGTCTAGCACACCAGACAGATGCCAACTTTAAAAGAAGCTGTGGTGTTTTGTTTCTTATAGCAAGTCTGAGACCAGCTAAAAGAGAATGGATCAAATGTGATCCCTGTCCTCTGGAGTGTCTATCTGCTGTGGCTTCTTCAATAAACGAGGTCTGTTGGGACATCCAAAGAGAACCCACTAACTTCTTGTTTATGAAAGCAAAACTACTCAGCTGAACCTTCTTCTAAAAGGAAGCTGGTAGCCTGTGCGTGGGATAAAGGGAATAATCTGCTGTCAGGCTCTAAACTGCATTTGCTTAAAATGCGATTCCATATGTTTTTATTTGGTGATAACACAAAGCTTGCCCCATTTAAAAGCAAAAACAATGCATTCTGCAGGATGATCCAGTAAAGACCCCTGGGATCTCTGAGTGAAGATGGGTGTTTTACCTTGTACATTCTCTCAGGTAATAACATCATTATGCTGAGAGTGCAGAATGCAAGAGCCAGGATAGAATCTAGCTTGCTCTCCTGATGCTGTTGATATGGCTCCAGCACAAGATAGAATTCAGAAAAATCCCAGTTTGTCCAGTAGCGAGAGCTGACAGAATTGGGAATACTCTAGGGTTACATTTTCCTCTCAGCAGGGCTAAGTTTGTTGTAAGAGGACAGGGAGCAGGTCTGAGACGTATGATACTTTCTTATATGTGGATCTAGTTTTCTGACTCCAGCTGTGGAGTTGGGCGGTCGGGGCTGAAAATGCTCAAGTAAAAATGAGCCTCTGCCATGGGGCAGCTTGACAATAACAGCTATCCCAGATGGCACAGATGGGGATAATGCTTGCTGATTTGATGATGGAGGTTGAAAATTTGAGTGGGAAGAGAGTCTGCCTAAATTTCAAAGGTCACAGATCTGATTTGCTGTCACTGTGTCCCCTCTTTCTCTTGCCTGCCATAGCAGCAAACATCTTTATCAACTTAATTGTCTCATGCATAATTAAAGCCTTGGATTATTAATCCACGCAGTGCTGAAAGCTGTTTTCAATATGTAATAATGAGTGTTCAATTTATTGCTTTGATTATGTCCTATATGCATTTCACATCTGCAGTTCCCTCCCTTACTTCCATATGGCAAATATACATAATGATGCCCTAACTCTGACACCTGCAGATGTGATGGGATTGTTGTAGCTCCACTGTGCTCCCCCATTTCCATGCTGCCTCCTCTCTACTCATCAAGTATATTCTTGTATAGGACTCTGTTGTTCAGATTCATAGTTCCACATATGCTTGCCTGGATTGGGGTCTAAATGCATGGACACATGGTTACGTTTAGCTGCTTCTAGCCTCTGCAGGTAGACTCTGCCTATTTGGACATGAATTCTGTCTGCTGCACTGAAGGTGTGAGGTGTGTGACTAAACCACGTTATCTCTAATGTCAGCACATGTATTACCAAGACTAGAGATCACCATCAAGAACAGCCAGTGCATTTTGTTCCCCTCCTAGCATCGTGACACGTGCTCCCTGAGCAAGCTGTCTTGTCTCTTAGAATCTGATCTCTGCCTGTGCTTATGGTAATGCACTGAAGGAAAGAAAGGCAAACGTGTTGGTCTTGTGCTGCACAAACTAGAAGATAAGATATTATGCTGCCTGAATGTTATTGAGAGCAGGAAGACTCGCTTGACTTGAAACAGTTGGGGCATTCTGGAATATAGTGTGTACATCCATTTGTAAGTTGTCTCCTGCCTAGGCTTCTGAATCCTAACCGGCAATGAGAACTAAGTCTAAGTTGCATAATTTCTGTGCCTTCTAGAAGTTCAGGTAGAGGTGTAGGAGTACCTCAGAGAGAATACTCTGGTCCAGCTTATTGCATGGTAAATGAATCCTACCTTATTTTTAATTTTTTTCCTAGTATTCATTATGTAATGAGCCCCTGATTGAGCTATCAAACCCTGGTGCCAGTGGCTCGCTCTTCTATGTCACAAGCGATGATGAGTTCATCATAAAAACTGTGATGCACAAGGAAGCGGAATTCTTGCAGAAGCTTCTTCCTGGTTACTACATGGTGCGTATCTTTTTGTGCAGAGCTTGTTTTGGTTTGCAGGGCAAATGTTACAGACTGGAGTACCGTGTATCATGTGGAGCACTTGGTAACCCAGAAGGCTTTCCCTTTGCCTGCCTGCCCTGTGATACCTGAACAAAAGTATACATGTTAAACCCAGAGACAGCACTTTCCTGGCCTACTGCAGCCATGTGCTGACAAATACTTTCAAATTTCCCCTGCTTTACGCAGGGAATCACAGGGCAGTAGGTGAAACATGCCTTGTGTAAGGGGATCAGAAAGGATGCAATTTGCTTCCACTACTATGTTGCAATCCAACCATTTTTTTCCACAACAGTAATCCTCTTTTTGTGGGTATATTGACTCTGCATCTTTATCCCCCTCACTTGTCTCCTCTTGGGAAGCTCTTTGTTCTTCTATGATTCTGTAGCAGCATCAAGGGAGAGGTACTACACTGGTTTTGCTATACCCAGCCGTGTTAATTTTCACTCCACTATCCTGAGTTTCCTTGAATGTGTAGGCTGCTTAGCAGAGCTTTACTTAGCAATAAGCTGCATATTCCTTTGCTGTGGTTTCCAGTCACTTACAGGCCACGATACCAATTTGTTTATTAAAGACTTTTAACAGTAACATCCAGGAGCTGTAGCTTTGCACCTTTTTCTTAACCTGCATTACTCTAAGGCTCTGTAATGTTGTGGGTTAATGGGACTCTGCAGGATGCGTCTATTAAAAGGGACTTATCAAGAGAAGACAGCTAGTGAGTAGGGACTGAAATCAGTGAAAATGGGAATATGGGTGACCTTAGTAGGAAGAGACATCTGTTCCTACACAGCTGCATCTTAAAGTTCAGCTTCCTATGGAAAAGGCATTATAAGAACACAAAGGCTACAAAGGGAAATCCTACTGCCCTGCTCTACAGTCACTCATATCTTACAATAGAGTATAAGTAAGTGATCACGTTGCTTTCCTTGGGACCCCAGATTCATTCAAATCCATATGAAATGAAAGCTTCAGTAGTGTCTTAGGGACTTTTAGATTCTCACTGTAGTGCTTTTAATCCTGAAACTACAGCCTCATTTGCTGCAGACAAGTTGAGTGAAAGCAGTGACTAGATCCTTCTTGTTCCAAGTATTATAAATTGATGGATAATAAATATAATTATAGGGGATGAAACTGACTTAGTGCCCCATTATAAAGCCTTTATGCTATTGTTTCTGCACATTTCATAGATAGTTACATTTTGCTAATACACACATGATCTTCTGGCTGCTATCAAAATCAGCCGTATTGTAAAATGACCTGAGAGAGCACAGCAGTTGATGCTGAGTTGCTTTAAGTCTGGAGAGTGAAGTTCTGCTTTCAGTTCCTGGCATGATAGTGGCACTAAGTTGCACAGTGTCAAATTACACACTCACAAAACTCACTCCTGTGTCTAGTTAAGCAAGATGAGATGAGGAGTATTAAATTTTAATATAGTTGTAATGCTTCTGCTTTGTATGGAAACTGGCAGGTTCATCTGTTTCCGTATAGCTTGTGTAACTTTATTTCCCTTTAAAAATGCTTCTCAGAACTTAATAAGCAAATAATGTTTATCATATCATTTTTAATAGCTTGATCACCTAAAACAAGGCAAGTTAGCAGAGTTAGGACTAGCAATCTGATTGATAGACTGCGGGTTTTATAAATTCAGGTTTTCTGTTGAAGGTGAACTGATTGTATATCCTGATGGGGCTGCTTTCATTTGTAGATTTGTTTTATTAAATGTCATGGCCTTAGTTTATTTGGCCCAGGGAGTATCTTTTTGTTTTAAAATATGTCACTGGATTGAAGATGACATATTTTAAAAATAGAGTTTCTGCTGAGCAGCACTTTTTGGGGGGGCTTGAGGGTTCCCTTTTCTTACCTGCTGTTTTGGGAAATCTGGGAATTCCTGCAGTTGGCTATTTGCTCGGACACATGTGCAAAATCATATTTCCTATAGTCAAGGCATGGAAATCTTTCCAGTGTATAATATAAGGGATCTAGGTGAAATCATTGAAATGCTGAGGAGTTTGTTGAATTTAGATTATGGGAACTCTTTATTCTGCAGGGCTTTATTCTGCAGAAATACATTCTAGATGTGAAAATGCTATTCTGCTGATCCTTCCTAAAATCAATATTAACTTGGGCCTTTGAACAAAAGAGAAGGCTTCTTCCAAAATGTATCTTTCTGACTCTTGCTTACCGCATCACAGAACCTGAACCAGAATCCACGGACCCTGCTGCCAAAGTTCTATGGACTGTACTGTGTTCAGTCAGGGGGGAAGAACATTCGGGTAGTGGTGATGAACAACATTCTGCCCCGAGTAGTGAAAATGCACCTAAAATTTGACCTGAAAGGTTCTACCTACAAACGCCGGGCATCCAAGAAGGAGAAAGAGAAGTCCAGCCCCACATACAAAGACCTGGACTTCATACAGGACATGCCTGAGGGGCTAATGCTGGATGCAGACACCTTCAGTGCTCTGGTGAAAACACTGCAGCGAGACTGTCTGGTAAGGAAGAGGCAAACTGAGAATGTCAGACTATTGCAGCTATGCACACGGAAAAGATAGTATTTTAGAAGCTTTCTAATGTGTAAACCCCACAGCTGAATGAATCGCCTCAGTGCTCAACGTATCTAAAACCAAAGTGCTTCAGTTAGGTTTCATGTTGGAATGCTAGTTTTCACAGATTACCTTACAGTCACTAGTTTCCTATGAAACTTTGAAACCAAGCAACACTTGCCCAACACACACAGATAGCACTTGCATGTTGGTATGCAGTTCCTACAACTTAATTGTATTGGTTCCCTTTTTCAGGTACAGGAGAACCTCGCCATTCACAGGGGATACATTCTTGTGATCCCTGCGAATGACTAAATCCACAAATAAGGCACTGCATTCATGAACGCAGTGCTCCCAGTGGCTGGGGGAGGGGCACGGCTGCGCTGGCAGGAGTGGGAGTGCGGCGGCGGGAAGCGCGGAGCTCCTTTAAGTGCATTTAAGATGTGGGTTCAGCATTTGCGAATATTTGAAACCGTGACTGCCAAACCCACGAATAGCGAGGGTTTCTTGTAATTAGGTCACCTACAGCTGGATCTCTGGGATGAACTGATGAATGGGCTTCTACTGTTCAATGTGCTGTAGATAATTATAACAGTTCTTTGTGAACCCCTCAGCCCCTGAGAGAAGTGGAATGGCAATGACAGAAATGATTAGAATCACTTAGAACCAAGCCAGAAATAATGTTAATGTTGAAACAAAAGTTAACAGTTAAATCTGAGATTCCCTCTGGCCCCAACAAAGTGATTGTTAACTTAAGTTCGCTGTAACCAAGGTGGACTGTTCCATGCTTTTGGGTCTGTGTTGCATTTGAAGTAGTATGTGAGAAACTACCAGATTGACTAACCTTTTGTTTGCTTTGTTCTTAAACTCATCACTAACCTGTAGGTGTTGGAAAGTTTTAAAATCATGGACTACAGCCTGCTGCTCGGTGTGCATAACATAGACCAGCAAGAACGGGAGCGGCAATCTGAGGGAGCCCAGAGCACGTCTGATGAGAAACGTCCTGTTGGGCAGAAGGCACTTTACTCCACCGCCATGGAGTCCATCCAGGGTGGGGCTGCCCGGGGGGAGTCCATAGATACAGATGACACGTAGGTGATAACCTGGTTCTCTGAACTGCTGTACTGGTGGAAGCAAAAGGTTTTAAGTAGTGAATTCCCCAAGTTGGCCAGTGAATCTGCTACGAGGAAAATAAAAAGCAGCCGCCAAGAACAACATAGTGGAAACTGATGGGAGCAGCCAGAAGACTGTCACATTTCATGATCAGCTACCTTGCACTAAGTCATTTAATGGTCATGACAGGAAATTATACCCCATGTGGTAGGTTTCTGGGTCCTTCAGCAGCCTGCAGGCACAGCACTATTGTCTTGGGAGGAGAAATTAGGGGAAGCCAAAGCTCAGGTGGTAGATGATGTAGTGGAATTACAGAGTGTTTTTAGAAAGAGGCTTGAGTTCGGTTTCTGATTGGGTCACACGTCTGTAATTTGATCCTTGTGGAATACTTGACCAAATCCTAAAACGGTCTTGACACTCTAGGATTTGGCCTGATTAGCTGCAGCCTCTGCTCAGGAGAGATCCAGGCATTGGAATAACAGGGTGTGACAGGTGAGGATCGTAAGTGCATTGGTGGAGCTGTGGGCCAAGGGAAGCTTATCCAGTGCCTGATTGCACTGTGCCTTACGTGCAGCTGTTGAGCCACATGTGGCTCTTGCCACATTGTGTGTCTTTCTGTTTCTGTGGACTGGGGTTACTAACAAATGGTGGGGTTTGCTGCATTTGTCTGCTGGGTCTGTGCTCGGTGAAACCAGCTGCTCCATTTTGAATGTTAGGATTCTGTATAGTTACAGCCAGGACGTTTTTGTGTTTCTGGTCTGTCAAATAATAATCCTAATTCCAGGGGACTGCCTGATATCTGCATGTTGACTTGCACTGTATTGCTACTAATTGTACTGCAGATTTGTCAGGACTGATACGGATGATATATTGTGTGTTTGTGGCGGGGGGGAAATAACTTGTGCTTAAAGATATAGGTTCAGTTTCTGCCCTCAGTTCCCACTGACTTCCTTCAGGAATTGTGAATCTTTGTCTGAGGGTAGTCTGGCCCTCACAGTTCAATGCTTGCAAAGGGCTCTGCTAATACTCATTTTACTCCTTGGTGCAGGCAGCAGCCTGTGTGTGTGGCAGGAGGTAGGATGTGTTTTGGGGAGTGGGGGATATTTGTAGATTACGACTTTCCTGAAGTGCTGCCAGAATGTCCTGGCTGGGCCATTCCCAAGTATGTTTTATGTTCAGAAGTGGAGAAATGAGACCACTCTGGGGTTTCCCCCATAGCTACTTTAATCATATAAAAGACCAAGGTCTTGAGAGTGACTGACTGCAGCGAGTCCTAGGGCATCTTTACTGCTATCTTTCTGGACTTGGGTGTCTGTAAGCATGAGGAGCTATTGGGGAAAGACCTGGTTGGGACAGGGTACTGCCACCTTGTGTAATGTTCACCTAGGCAGCCACAAGAGTTGAGCAGGAGGTTCTTAAATTAACATGTTTGAAAGGATGGCATTCACAGTGCAGTATCTCCTCCCTTTTCACTGGACTTCCCTT